GCCAATGTTTTGCTATTGTGAATAGTGTTGTGATGACTATTGGTGTGTATTTCTGATTTCTTTTAAAGTTTCCTTTTTGATCCCTGAATTATTTACAAGTGTGTTGTTGAAAAGATATTTGATATATCCTAGATGTTTATTTATAATTAAATGCCAGTGATATGTGAATATACTTTGTGTGATTTTGATTCTTTTAAGTTTGTTGAGATGTGTTTTGTGGCCCAACATATGGTCTGCTTGAATGAAACTTGTCCTCTTGAAGAGAATATATATTCTGGAGATGTTGGATGTAGTATTCTATACATGTGAAATTAGATTAAGGTTGCTGATGCTGTTGTCCAAATCTCTGTGCTTAATCATTTTGTTTGCTTAGTTCTATCTGTTTCTGAAAGAGTGCTGTTAAAGTTTTTCCTATGTTGGTGGAATTGTCTGTTTCCCTTAGAAGTGTTCATTTTTGCTTCAGGCAAAATCTCCATTATTAGGTACATACACATTTATCATTGTTTTGTCGTCCTGATAAATTATCCCTTTTGTTGTTATGAAACTCCCTTATCTGTGGTAGGGCTTTGTGCCTTGAAGTCTGTTTTATCTGAAATTAAAATATCCACTCCAACCTTCTTGCACTTCTTTGTTGGTATGGTGTATCTTTTTACTTTCATTTACTTTTAGCCTACCTGTGTTTTGTTTGTTTTAATATTTAAAATGTTTGTTTTGCAGATAGCATTTAGGTACTTTGTGTCCATTTGGGCTACTAGTTTTAATGTGTGTTTGCTCTCTGTTGTAGCTAACACATTACCATAAATTTAAAACAGCATCCTTTCATTATCTTACAGTTTCTGGGGCTCAGAAACATGGGCACAGCTAGTTCTTAGTGCAGAGTCTCACAGATTGTAGTTAAGGTGTTGGCAGGGCTGCATTAGAGGAGAATCTGTTTCTAGACTCATTCAGGCTGTTGACAGAATTTAATTCTATGTGGTTGTAGGACTGAAGTCCTCATTTCCGTGCTGGCTGACAGCCATGGGTTGTTCTCATCTTTCAGAGGCTTCCCACATTTCATGACCCACTTCATCCATCTTTAAAGCCAGCAGCAGTGACTGAATTCAGCTGATACTTTGACTCTCTCTGACTTCCCTTTTGACCTTATATCTCCTCTGTATTAATGTTCTGCCTCATCTTTCTGACTGGCTCTTTTGTTTTTAAGGGCACCCAAGGTTAATTTAAGATACTCCTTCTATTTCAGTACCAGCTGATTGGTAACCTTGATTTCATCAGGAAAGTCCTTCCACAGCAGTACCTAGAGTGGTGTTGGTTGAATAACTAGGGGAATTCTGGGGATATAAGAAGTCCTGGTGTGGTGTTGTAGGATAACCACTAGACTTATCCTACGCAAGGTTGGTGGTTCAAACCCACCAGCCACTCTTTAGAAACCCTGTACAGGGTCACTAGGAGTCAGAACTGACTCTATGGCACTTAACAAAAGTAATGTTAAGAATTATGTCTACCACAGAATGTGGTTAGTGCTGTCAAGTCCATTTCAACTTCTAGCCACCATGTATAGGGTTTCTGAGTTGCTGCTTGGGGGTTTGAACTGCAGACCCTGCTCTTAGAAATCCAGCACTTATCCTACATTTCCATACCAGGATTCCACCGAATGTTTAGACCATTATTATTATTATTATTATTTTAGTGAAAGTGGGGCTATCTTTATTTTATTTTGCAAAATCAGGTGCCCAACCCAGTAGACCTGGGAAGAGGTGCTACATGGCTGGCCCGCAAACAGTTTTATTCCCCTGTCTCGAAAAAGCCCCTCCTCCAGTTCCCCTTTTACTGGGTACTATGATGTGGCACTGTAGG